ATTTACAGTCTTTCTTGTGGTCTGAAAAAATCCATTTTCTTTCTCGGCCTGCGGATAAATGTCTATCACAGCCCATGTCTGAATGTTAAAGTTCACATTGTGTTCCAGAAAAACATTTATGTTTCCGAACAAGTTGGTGTGAGTTGCGCTCAAGATCTTCACTAGGCTACCATTTTTTGTCAATGCTAGGCTTTTGGCACAAAGCTTCCTCTCACGAGTTTTGTATCTCAGAGTTTCTTTCACAGAGTCTTCAAAGTGAAAAATGTCCATATTCATTCCGCTTCTGTAGTAACAGTTCATATGGTTCTTCATGTCACATGTTAAGGTAATATGCTTGTCAGATGCTGAGGAAATACTGTACATGGTAGGAAGCAAGTTGTCCAAGTTTTCACAAGCTGACATCAGTTGACTTTTTCCTTCTGAATGTGATGATGGAACAAACTTCTGACTCAGCACCATGTACATGCACCAGTCATACACCTAAATTGAAATACAAATTAAATAAATATAAAACAGTACAAAAGCAGCAACATCTCAAGTGAAGGAGATCTTAAGGCTCATCAGTCTTCTGACAGGAGAGATAACTCTCTCTCTCTTTGATAAGTGTCTATTATTCCTTTACGAAACTATCACAAGTATTAGAGAAGACCATTTATTCAAATTTTGTTCTGCACATTATGCTGATTTTGTCTTTTATAAATATAGACCTTTTATTACAATCATCAAGACATGTTACAGTATGTACACTATTTTATTATTATCATATCAACTGAAATGCATATCCACAAAATGAAGCTCAAGAAAAACACACACTGTGTCAGTAGCTATATAAAGTGGTGGTAAAGAAAATGAAAGTTAAAAAAATTTCATAAAGTATACTCACTGCATATGTCTCCATTACTGTTGATTCCTCGGCACCTTTCTTCAAACACTGGCGAGTGATCCAGCCATTGGCCCTCTCATAAGCAAAGAGCCATCTCCCATAGAGGGGTCCATACATTGAAAAACCATCAACAATATGGTGGATGAGGTGTGTGACTAAATTCTGTTAAATATAAAGTTAAAAAAAAGTCTGATTACATATGCACTAAAACCAATTAAATGAAATGTTTTATTCATATTTGAAAAAAGATTTAAATCAAACAAGACTTTTCCTTCAGATTCAAGTCTGACCCAGAAAGAATATAAAACTCATAGGCCAGAAATGTTGATAATTGGGCAAATTAAATAAAATAACTACATTTTGTACCTGCATGGACAGTGGAAAATCCCTTTCAAATAATGCTAAGGATGAATGGACTTCTCTCTGCAGATGTGGCAAATCTTCCTCTTTCAAAGTTGGTGACACAATTCTTTTAATAACATGTAGCATTTTCTGCAGGGTGTCTTCTTGTTTTGCAGGTAGGAATCCTTTGATGCACCACTCTAGAGCTCCACTTGTAACAAACTGTAAAATAAACATAATATTGTAAATCCAAAATACAGAATTAGTACCTGCATTTGTTTTGATTTAATACCTTTCAAAAAATCAGTGACAACAAACTTGTACAAGCCATAAACTAAAACTTATAAAAGCTCAACTAAAGCCTCAGTGCTGTGTGTAATAATAATAATTTATAATTTCTTAAGAAATATTTTAAAATAAATATAAGAATTATTGAATGAACAATTTACCTGAAGCTTAGAATTCATAGTCCGTAACGTCCATGGCTTTGTGAAATCTGGGCCTGGAGTTATGTCTTGCAAAAGACTGTACTTAATCATGGAGGCTCTCTCATCGGCAAGTTTCAGTTGTTCCTTAGAGAGGGACCATGGTGTTGGGGGAAGGACACATTCTGGATCAATGTTTTCTTCATTACGTTTTCTCTTTCTTTTCCCCTTTGATTTGGCTGATGGCAATGTAGAATTTACTGGTGGCATCGGATTTGGATTTGCCGTAATCCATATTTCTGGAAATCTGTCAAACTTTTTCTCACAATTTCTGATGTTTGGGCTATCATGTTTTCCAGTAAGCATATCCATTAAATGGCTTATAAAGTCAGCAATAGTATGCATGCCGTCTGGTTGCATTTGATTTCTGCGATCATGATATGGAAGTTTCATGAATGTGTAGGTACCTTTCATCCCCGTCTCTTTTTGGTGTTTCATTTTCTGGTGTTTGTTTGGCAGTTTGTCGTATTCTTCCCTTCGTTGTTTTTCCTCTTGAAAGGAGTAGGAAACAGGAACATTACTGTCTCTCTCTTTTAGTCCGAATCCAGAAGAACCTCGCATAGAGTCACTAAGAGGAAGGAAACTTCTGTTTGACAAATGAATGGTTTTCTTCAGGAAATGACAATAGTGTCCAGTCTCTTGGCAATACGGACATGATCTTAAAGCAGCTGCACCACTCAGATGTAAAAGTTTAGAATATGCTGGGATGTCGCACAGAAACTGTAACAATGCCACTTTTACTTTTACAGGTGCTGTAGTGTACGATGTCTTTACAGGAAATTCTGTCAAGCCAAGCAACTCCTCTGTCAAAATTTCCAAGTATGGCTCCAAATTCTTTGGCTCACTCCCATTTATACCACTTGGAATTATTCCCATTAAAAACATGGGTCCAAGGAATTGACGGATGTTTCTAGGCAGATTTATCCAAGTAAGAATAAGCGGCCACATTGATTTCTGACTGGATGAATGTTTGTTAGGATTCACTCCGTCAGTGAAAAGGGAAAGAGGGACACATAGTTGTTCCTGCCAGCCTTCAAAGACACCTCCTTCCTGAAACCAGGACTTGTATAGCAGTCCATCAGTAAAATCTGTCAACGTTCCACGTATTTTAATCTTATCGGCATATAACAACTGGCACAAATTTGAGGTTCCAAACCACCGTGCAAGTCTTGGCCCAAGTGGCATGTAGGTAAAAGTCTTCCTAACACGTCCATTGACTCTTCTAGGCTCACCACATTCTGGACAGGTATCAATATCAGCATGTGCACCTCGAAACAGCAAGCAGTCATTTATACAAACTTCGTACTTCACAAGAGGGATAAGAAGATGTTTAATAACATTCCTGGCTTCCTCAAACGATGCAGGCAAGTGGTTGGGCTTTGGGAGTGTTTGCTTTTCATTATGCAGTACATCTGAAATCGCTTTTTTGGACACCCCATGGTTACTTGAAAACACATATAAATGTTGCGTCACAGCTTCCAGCACAGTTACTTTGGATCCTTCATACAAAGGTCTAAGGAGACAAGGGTCCTTGTAGGCATCTTCATTGAACATGAACTTTGGAGTAACCAGTTCTTCTTTTCTTGTAATGTCATCCTGGGCATGTCTATAGAATGTACTCCTTGGTACCCACTTTCCACAGCATTCAGTACACTTGCACAATCTAGTAGATCCTTAAAAAAATGAAAAGAAATTAATTATTGCTGATGTCATTTTCAATCCCATTTGGATTTTTATTTATTAAAAAAAATTGGTTCCAAGATTTTATCTGAAATAACTCAAAGAATTCACTATTTTCATTTAAAATTCACACAAATTTGCAACAATTGTTCCAATAAAAAAATTATTACAGGTCTTTTTCTACATGGTCGTTTGTTTGTTTAATATCTATTTATAATAAGGATATCTTAGTTTCTTTTTTTTTTTAGGTTTTTAAATTTTAGCATATTGCTTAGCAAAAAACATCATTAACTTTTTAATTACCATCAAGTTTCACTTGAAAAGACATACTGCTGAGGACAAAACAACAGATACAAATGCAGAGAACCCATGTCATATTACTATCATGAAATTATAAGGACTAAACTAAAGGTAACTGGGGGGGATCAAGGGAGAGAGTTCAACAGCTGAACTGTATTTTCATTGGCCAGTGCTCTTAACCAATCAAAATGAGTTCAATTTTACCTTATCACCTTTTTTCTAATTTTGTTAAACTAGGAGTGAAGGATATTAATCCCCCCTTTCTCAAAAGGGCAAATTTATATTAAAAAAAAAAATAAAATAAATAAATAAATATCTAAATACATACAACATGTATTGTTATAAAAATAGACATTGTTTGTGAGAGGAATTGGTTTTGAACATACATAATGTATTTTATTGCCTTTAAATTTTACAAATGTGATAGCTGGGGCAGAAATTCTTAAAACTTAACAAACCATTTTCACACATCATGTACATGTGAATTACATACAAAACTTATTTACATATATGGGTCAAAGTTTTTAATTAATAAGCCCCCCTCCTCGAAGAAATTGAAAAAAAAATAATCAACATTACTTTACAATTTATCTTCCAAGAGTAAAGGTTGAGTTTAAACAGTATGTGATTTTCCCATTTGCCAAATGAATTCGTCAAATTTCTTTTCTATAACTTAAGGATCAAAATCTGTATATTTTTGCATGAGAAGAAATACTGATGATTATTCTCCAGGGGATGATAGAACATTTACATGTATCACATGTATGAACATCAATTAATTTATCGTAACAAAATTAATTGTTTGAAAACTCTATAATTATAATCCCATTCTAAATCCATCATTTATTTTGGAGATCTAATAACTATTCAATTGTAATGGACATAATTTTGTGAAATATTAAGGGAGATAAAAAACATGTACCACATGCAGGAAACTCAAATAATTATGCAATTATACTTTGTTTGAAAAACTTTGAAATTTTACCAATTAAAAAATTAAATTTGATTTACCAAATTTCTCAAATATTTCAAATTTCAACTGAGGATACGAAGCAAAATGCAGAATTTTGGTTAATAATGCTAAGTAATTAAAATATGTTTGACCATGCAATTAAGTTTTCATTGTTTGACCATTAGGAAGTCACAGACCATCGAATTGTTTAAGTAGTCTCTTAATTGTTAGGATAATAGTTTGAAGATGAAAAGTTACAGTGAGAGGGATAATTGCTTGATTACCTAATTATGAGATTTTAAAGACAACTATGTCATTTTCTTAATAATGACAGAATTATTGAGTCCCTGAGCCAGTCTTCAGCTTTATTCAGACCGTTCAGTGTGTGTTAATATAACGTGCATCTTCATCATGAACCCCTATCAAAATCTATCCTTTAATCCCATGGATTATAACTATCCTCCCAATGGATCCTATGCTCCCATACAGAACCCTACTCCCAGTACTGTCTATGTGCCTCCCAGTGTTTCTCAGTCCTGTGACTTTAATTGTGTTTGCTGCCTGAAACTGAAAGCGGGTCAGACATCTTCTTGCAACACCTCAAAGACAACTGTGGGAACCCAGACAATGCTTGAAGTTCCTCAAGGCCTCGATCCTGAGGGGTTTTGGATGCGAGGGACTTATGAGCATGCTTTATTACAGGTAATTAGCAAATTAAATGTGTCTTTCTGCTAATTTCATTTATTATTTAGATCTGTTAAGGTCCAAAATTCTGACTTCAATGTACATTTGAATAAATCTTTGAACAAAAATAATTGTGAAATTAACTATTTTTTGGAAGAACTTTTGTGGAATATATATTGTTAAAAATATAATGACAGAACTTGTATGATCTGAAGAACTTCATCTCATTTAAAAATTCATCTACTTTGACTATGTAATTTGTTAAGTAACTAAATTCAGTCATTTACTTAAGTATTTAAAAAATAAATTGAAATACAAAGAGCTGTAATTTGTCCCCTTAATCGATACACATTTATATTTTGAAAACCACATGCTTTATTTACATGTAGGAACTAGGGTACATGTACAGTGTGTCACGACAGACTGAAGGCCAAATAAAATTTTTGTATCTAAATTTCTACATGTAGCTAGCATGAGACTATAATTTGTAGTTTCATAAACTTCATAAAAAAAAGAAAACATATAATTATTATTTAGCAAAATCCATTGATTATATGAACACTTCACAATCTGTTCAGCTGTTTTAATTAAAAAATTCAAATTCTATTTTAGAAGTCTGTCAATAATGCCCTGCAAAAGTACAAGCTGTCAGGGAGAAAGGACAGTAACTGGGAGGCTGCAACAAATGAGATCATGAACTCCTACCAGTGTGACATGCCTCAGACTCCCACAAACAGAAGAAAGGTTCAAGACCGAATGAGAAAAGCAGTTTACTGGGGACGCTTCTACGAGAAAAAAGAGTAAGTGATCATAAAATTTTGTCACCTTTTTCATAGGATTTTGTTAAAAACAGTTGGAATGAGATCAATAGAATTAGAACTAAATTTGAAAGCCTAAGTTATTAAATATCCAGCTATCTGACACATACATTTCTGGTATACAGAAATGATAATAATAGTTCTGACTTTTCAAGATAATTCTTTTATCAAAAGTTTTCAGCACAATTAATTTGTTTATGTTCTTCATTCATCATGTTTTAATTATGTTATTGAATAAATGGGGTATTTCTGATGTTTATGAAATGAGTTGTTTTAATCTCCATATGTCATATTCTATACACATTAAAAAAGTAAAAAGTAAAAAAAATGATAATAATTAATATAGAAAAGGAAAAACAACTAAATAAAAAAATGAATACTTTTTTTTTCATGTAGTACCAAGTAGTATTGATATATCTTGTAAAATTATAATAATAAATTAAAATGAGAAATTTAATCATGTTCTAAATTATAAAATTTTGATATTATCATGGTCATCAATTTGATTGATTTTCCTTGTATGTTGTGTATATCAAACACACAGTAGCAGGGGAAACCAGCAGAGAACAATAGACTTGTTAAAACCTATTGTCTCCACAGGTCATTGCTGACCATGCAATTAACATAGATTACACATGGAACTAACACAGTTAATATACTTCCTACTGTTAAGAAAGATCAAAAGAAAAATTGTGCTTTGATTTTTTAAACTTCTTTAAAAGGGTGAAATATAAAACAAAATTATATTTAAAATTAAATTAAATATTAAATATATTTCAGCATTGTTAACATTAATTTTTCTTTAAAGGAATTCTAAAGTAAAACATGTATTAGCTTAATTTTATATATTCATTTCTAATTTTTTCCCCCCAGATTCCAAGTAATCAAATAATTTTGATGTGAACATCCCAAAAATAAAATTTCCCCATAGAACCAGTACTGTGTTATTATTTATTAATCATATCATTTTAAACTAAAAAATTATAAGTACAAGTACATCATAAAATAAGGTGGTCTGCCTGATAAAATGTGAAATACATGCATGTACATATCTATAACCAGCTCTGGCTCTATTTGAAACCTTCCTGAATTTTTTTTTATGGTGTGATCATGTCAGTTCATTATATTTTCCAGAAAAGAGGCAGTAAAAAGGGGTATGACTGTTAAGGCTTTCCTTCGGCATTCCAAACAACATCCACAAGAAACAAGCAGTTCAGAACCCTCTGGATTGTTGGAGGAACAATGTGATACGTAAGTCATTATTTATTTCTAATTAAGATTAATAATTAAAGTAAAAAGTTAATACATGTAGACTATACATTTACATTAAACTAAACAGAGATTACCAGGTAGCTGTTAATTTTTTTTAAACAAAAATTAAAATATTTCATATTAGAATTCTGTAATTTATGAAACAATTTATTATGATTATTTTTTTTTTTTTTATCTTTTTAAAAAAAATCAAGAGTGTTCATCATGTTCATATTTTCTGTGAATTGATATATATGAAAGTAATGATGTCATTTTTTTCTTAAGTGAGGTTGCTGACCGTGGAGATGCTAGAGATATGACTGCACCAACAGCAGCTACTTTTTCCAGTGACTCCGACAGCGACACACCTCTGGCCGTCTACAGACAGAAAACCAAGGGCAAGAAGTAATTCCCTCATCAGTGGACACTCCCCATTTCACAACTAGCTGACATAGTCTGTGACAGTTTTTAAATATTATTTATAATATGTAGCTTGTGCATTGATGTTAATGTGAGAAATTCAATCATTAAATCACCTGTGAAAACTCTGGCATTGTACTCTATTTCTTTCCATACATGTATAGACTAGTTTAAAAGGAACAGAGCACCCCCATGTTGATCTACACAAAATTTTCTATGTCAGTCTGATATATATAAAGTAGGGTAAGAAAAATTATTTTTACTACTGTAACTGTTTATCTTACTTGAAAGAGACATTGACAGTTATCATATAGTATACTTACCACATCAATTCATGAGACAGTCATGAGGATCGAGGAAATTCCAACTTCTTCAGCGTAGTTTCTGTGTACAGTACTTAAGACTGCTAGGCACTTGAAAAGTTATTTCCAGCGGCAGTTTCAGTAGTAAATACATAAAGAAGATTGTTTTGTAAACAATTTAAGATCAAGATTGTCACTGTTATCATTCCATCAAGCTAGACCTCAAGGCAGAAGTCCTTCCGAATTTCCTTGTTCAAAAAAGCTTGTCGAACATCATATACGGGTTAAATATTTTAAACATTGTATACCGTTAAAAAATTACGCTCAGTCCTGTTATAAAGTTGTCTGTATTTCTCCTAAAAAGGCTAATTCACAACATCTGACACATTGTATGCACCATGTGCACCATAGGCAAACAGTAGAGCTAGAAACAATACGAGGAACCACGTCTTCGCCTTTGACAGTTAAAAGTCTTAATGTTGCAGATCAAACTAATTCATTTGTTGAAAAAAATATATTTGTTTAAGTTGTAAAAATTTTCAATAATGAAAGTACGGGCACACAAAAAAGTATCAATTGGTTGTTTTCGAATTTTTAAGAGAGAGAGAGAGAGAAGAAGAGAGAGAGTCTATATACATAAGAAAATAAGTCTTATTACCATAGTTATAATTAATTTCTTGAAAACAGTTTTCCCATTTCTGTATTATTTTTAGATGGATTATGTAAAAGGACATCATTTGTAATACATGTACAAGGTTCCATGTGTTGTGCCCCCCCCCCCCTTTCGGGGGAGAGCGTTTTCTTTCTTCCTAAGTGGATCAAAGAAAGGTAGAAATGGAGGCCCAAGTTCAACGACTTTCGTGCCCCCGGAGATTTTTTTTCTACATTCTACATTTCAAAGAGCGATAGCAAAATGAACAATTGATTTATAGATATAATAATTCGTATATACATAATTGATGGAATTAATTTCACCAGCTCTTCATGGGATTTTCGTTCTCCTATGATAAACGATATCAGCCTGTGTATATTCTGACTAGTATATTGTAATTTGTACGTTGACAAGTACATTTTGCAATGACAATGTACAGTTCGTGTTTTTATCTTTTTGGCTCTACAGGTGTGTACAAAAGGGAAAATGTCCAAAAAGAAAAGAAAAGGAAGTATAAATCACATGCCCTTAATTTTAATAAAAAATCCAGGTCAGCGAAGACCATTTAATTATGAATAAAATTGTACAAAGGGCACCGGGAATTGTTTTTTAAAAACTCTTGTTATATTTCTTTTTTCCCTATATCACGGACCTGTTTTAACCAATACTATATCCCATGTTACGAAACACACATCACATATACCGTAACGGAAATAATGTAAAAACAGCCCTTTTTCAGCTACCATGCATGACTGAATTTTTATGAATTCCTTTAATACTTACCTTAAATTTAATTAATGGAAACAAAAAAAGAAAAATACAAAAAATTCTAAATAAATATGTTCTATTCTTCAATGGATAAAATTCATAATCATACAATTCATAAATCCATTCATTCATTCTTTTTCTAACATTATATGTTTATTTATTTATTTTTTTTATTTTGTCACTTCTTAATAATAAAGAAAAAAAAACCCATCAGATATCGTAATGAAATTACTGTTCTTTAAGTTTTTCATTAGTTAAAAAAAATATACATTTCAGGAATGTATATTTGTATAGAAATATATATATATATATATATATTTTTCGATAAATTAACTTTGCTTTGTAACATTTAGATGTATATAAAAAATAAGCAGCTCTGCAGACCCCGCTAGAGCGAGAACAATAGGGACAGTAATTATCAGTAAATGTCAGCACTTGTCTAAGTTTTTCAGCAGGGACAGTAATCGGGTCAGTAATTGTCTAAGTTTATCAGCACCGACTAAGATTGTCAGCACTTTTCTAAGTTTATCAGCACCGGCAGTAAAAAGGTCAGTAATTGTCTAAGTTTTGCAGTAAAGACAGTACAAGGTCAGTAATTGTCTAAGTTTGTCAGTAAAAAATGGGAATGTCAGTACATTTCTGACTTAGTAGTGTCCCCTTTACGCTCTTACCATTTCTACTGAATAATTTGGAGACAATGACCGCATCCGACTGGTTACTTGTTGTTTCATGTTGATCATTGCCATCGCTGGGACTTGTTAATAAATTCGAAAACCACATTCCTCGTTACTTTGGACATTTCACTGTCAACATTCTCTCTTTTTAGTTCAACAACATATCTATTTATACCAAAACTACGGATACACAGCCCAAAGTATGTGATCTCATTATATCACACGGACATATAGCTCTTTTGAAACATTTATGAGGAGGCAGGAAATATCGATTGGTGAAATTGACACCCAGTCATCTTTCCTCAGAGGTCAATATTCGTCGTCACAGTGCTATATGTGGGCGTATTTGACATGTGATGCACAGGAATCGTGTTTATGAAACATTTAAATAATTAATTAAAATATCCATAATTTGGTCGGCTGACCACACCTGGACAGGCTTTACAGAGTTACACACATAGGAAAAAGCATTGGCGCAAACAATACACAGCCAAAATTTACAATCCTCTCCCATTTTCAGAAGAGAGCAAAATGCGGACTCCGGTGTAACAACGAAAAGTGACCCCCGTAGAGTATTGACCAGGGTGTCATTTTTCTACGTAGAAAAATGACCCAGGTCAATATTCTACGACAAGAAGGGTCATTTTTCGACCGTAGAAAATCCTTCCAGGCCAGTAATTCTACGACTCCGGACCGTTGCTCGAGACGATAAGGAAAAAGTTGCATTTTCATTAAAATACCTCTTCAGTTTATCATTTATGTTCGCTTATCATAATAATTACGATAACATAGTAACACTGCAAATACATAATAACACCAGTAAGATAATAGGGTATAGTGACTATAGTCAAATGTATTTTCATCTACATGTGCATGTATAACAAAGTTTCAAATTGATTTCGCTCTCAGTGCTACTGAACTTATACATATTTATCTACATGTATTTTAAAACTTTCATAAATCAGTTTAAAAGGTAACATTTTGAACCACATGACTCATTTAGCCAATTTTCAAGTTATTCTTCAGCAAATCAGAACAACAATATTTGGAAAATATTTCCTTTTCCTTTTTCAGAAGAACTCAATACATAAAAAGAATGCTGAAATTTTGACTTTCAAATACGCCCAGATTCCTGCCAAATATCAATCAAATGCGCCCTCATCCTTAATAAGTTTAAGGTATATTAACTACTTTGTGACCACGACCTTCAGTTTGAAATTGCAAAACTCTGAAGAAGCTCAAGAGAGAAAACGTGTTAAATACTAACAGGTCGTAGCTTCCATTGTAGCACGGAAGCACGTGCTTCCACATTGTTCGGTGGGAAAAATGAATTCATAAAAAGTTAAAATGCTTTTCAAAAATAAATTTAAAACACTCTCCGAAGAAAATACTGAACACTGAACTGTAGTAAAATTTTGCATTATTTGTTAATGTTTTAATTTTTCAATTTATATTAATTTATGAATATCATTTCTATATATAATTTATGAGACTCGAGTTCATGAAAACATGCATGTATGATTGAAATTTCAAAAGCATTACATGCATATAAAGGATAATACATACTTAGTGTAAACTGTATAATATTGAATACATGTAAAATGCATATAGGCCTATAACATGCAGTTTAATAATAAGGACATCAGGGAGAACCAAAATTTTTTTTCTCGCTGAAAACGCATTTATGACAATATATATCATTAATAATAACTACAAACGTTATTTAGAAAAAATGCATTGATTAGCATTTAACATTTTATGGTTTAAAATGTTATAAATCTTTTTAAGTCTATCGTCACTTATCTAAAATGCACCAGCTTCCAGGGGCTTCGTACCCAGAGTCCCCTGGACTTCGGCTTTGTCCCATCGGGGCCTTATGCTCCCCCCCCCCCTCCCCGCCATTTTATGCTTCCACATTGATCGACCCCAAGCTATGCCACAAGATGCGAATTTGGAGTTATAAAAGGCCTGTATGTACAAGTCAACCAAATTACAGAAATTCAGTGTATAAGAAAAACATGTATATCTATGGCCATATATGGCACGAAAAGAGACACCAAATAAATAAACACCGTGCGTTTCATAAGTCTACCCAACCCAAATTTTGATTTATAAATTAGGGTCCCCATTTTTCTCTGTTTGTGTATGAGGGACTGAGTTTAGGTCCCCAATTCTGTTTGCTTATGAGAAGATGGGTCCCCTAACTTTACACAGAGTCCTCAGATTGGCACTTCCGGGTCCCCATTTTCTAAATTCATGGAAATATCATTCAATCTCAAAGACTCACTCCATCTACTTAAACCAGGATACCTACGAAGTAAAATGAGTTAAACAATACCAAATATGTCATGAAATCGCTTAGTCCCCATTTTAAGTTTTTATGACAGAGTCCCCAGATCGGAGTCCATACACGTATGTGTGTGTGTGTGTGTGTGTGTGTGTGTGTTTAATGTTTTTGTTATTTGTTTGACAAAATCAAAGAAAACAGAACTATTTATATAGTCATTAACAATACACATTAAGAAATAAAATACAAGAATCATACAAACTTATATATTTACTCTTGAAAACCATTAATTGTTTCTTTTTATGATTTAATTTTAAAACATTACTAGCAATCATTTCTTTTTTAATTATTCACGAAATAGCGTTTTTGGAATTTTTCTATTTTTATAATTTTTTGGCAATTTAAATTTTACCGCTTATGAATTATGTTCCCTGTTCAGAACTCTTTATTCAGAGAAGGTAACTAAATTTTCCCGATGTTTTGCAAAAAACATTGTTTTTGGAGTTTAATGTTTGTAAGTTTTCTGATTTTATTGTCTACTTTTTTTAACTTTTGTAACTGTAAAAACTTTTGTAAGTGCTATACATGACTGATCTCTCGTAACCGATTGATCTTTGTTTTTTGTTTTAGTAATCGGACCTTCTCTTAGCGGGTTTCGGTACAGGTTGTTTCAAAAGATATTTACATATCTGACATTGTTTATTTAATAATTACTTGTACCTGTTTATTATGATTTTTTTGTGTAACAACTTTTATAAAATTTCACTTTCTATCTGCTGACTCTACAGTAAACATCATTCAACTTTAATCGGAATATTGTTGACTTTCTCTTTGCCAATTTAGCATAAAGGTAGAAAAAGCGAGTAGCTATCCTACCAGGCTAATATTTCCCCAAACTTCTCAGAGTTTTTCCTGTCTATTTATTTGGGCTCTAAGCTCCGAATGTTTGTTTTATTCCTAAAACCTTTGAGGACGTGGGGAGATAATTTAAAATTTTTCAATACAGGTTTTGAAATCATTGAACTTTTATGGGAAATATTAGGCAAATACCTTGGTCGGATAAAAACTTAATATAACATCTCTACTTTTAAGATAAAGATAATGTGTTCAATGATTTTTTTCTTTCAACAATAATAAAAACATTTATTACGGAAATTTGAAATACGTATATTTAACTCTTGATCCGAAAACGTAGTTTTGTCTGTCCTCATAATCGACATAGGATTAACGAAACTAAGTTACTGATTTTTTTTATGTTTTCATTACCCAATCCAAATGATAATTCATATACAATAACAGTAGTTAAAGGAAATTCCATTGGATGAGAAGGCTATCAATAAATTTAAATACATCAATGTTAAAACAAAAAAAAAAAAAAAAAAAATCAACGCATAGCAAACTGATGCAAATAAAAAGAGACAACTTGTCAGTCAGATCAAGCAACATTCAATATCCATTTTAATGACAATTATGGGCGAATTGCGAGTACATGCTAGCAAGATTTTCAGTCATCTTTCTGACATTATCCTGTCACATTTCAGTGAATATACAGTGGACACATTTCTCTCACTGGCCTTTCTGTGTCCTTTCAATCCCTTTCATTGACCGATTAGTTACTATTCAATGGCTAATAAAGAAACTTTCGATGACGTTTTACTTATACTTTATTACCTTTTATCAACTATTTTGTAATATTATACAAGTGCTTATTATGTAATTTGACAAATATTTCCTCTATAATTATTCTGGGGAAAAAATCATTCAGATAGAAATATATACATAAATTGCTTATTAATTAATACAACCTGTGTCTTGAAAATTTGAATCGTGAGAATGAACTGGAAAGAGTCGAAACTTCCGTTTATTTTTTGGGGTTGTCCATTTATTGCGGAATATTGCGGGTAGGACAAACATGCAAAAATTACAATTGCAAAAATATTTCTGACATGCAGATTTTTAATAAGTGGTGTGTGTGTAAGTCAACCTGATTTTAATGTTATTTCAAATTTAACAATCATTTTCTGCATTTTTATAGGCTATACTGTTATATTCGTTATAAAAATTGTTTAAGATCTGAATATTTTATTCAAAATTATTTTTTAATTCGTGGGTTTTTTTTCTTATTTGCAACATTGTCTTAGGGTGATCTGGGATTCTTAACACAAAAAGAAAAATGGTCCTTGAAAATTGTCAACATCATCCTTATTATATGGGTGTAAGATCAGTCTGTCCCGAAAATCCGCACAATGAACACATACTATTCACACATTTTGTACATAATTTATATACATTGCAAAACTCTCAACAAAACACAGGTAAATGGGATTTCCACATTCAATTGATATTATACTTTTTTTTCACTTTATAATCAAGATGCCTTTGCTAATGAATACATGAAAACATTGATGGTACCATACTGACAAGAACCTAAATCTCATCGTTGCCATGGATTTTTTTATTTTAATTTTACTTGTGTTTTCTTAATATATTCGATCATTAAAATGCGAAAAGCCGAAAAGAAGAAATCTAAGATATTAAGCAGTTTATACATGAAAACTGAATAGCTGCCACTCAGTCGACGAAATGTTAATAAAGTGACCATAGAAAGGTCATTGACAGACTGCTTTCAGTGACCTTCCATTTTACATTTCAGTAACCATTCATTGACCCTTTCGCAGGCCTTCCCCAGGTTTAAAGGTGTAAATTTCTATCCTGCGTAATGAAAAAAGTAACCACTCAAGAATTAATTCTTTAATCAAAAAGAATACCTCTTGAAGTATTCAAAGCCAAAAAATAAATCTTTAGAAACTCAACGCAGCGAAAATTTCCATATTTTCTGTGTCATGATCAATTTGATCATTACAGAGGCGCTAGAGTGACGTCATCGATTACAATGTCTCCCCGTCTGGACCTTCCTTTGCAGGCCTCCAGGAAAATCTATATAGAGAAGAAAAAATAAATTGTCTTTTTTTTCCTTTTATGTCTTCAATATCATTTACTTCAATATTTATTTTTTTTAATGTATTTAGACATTATTTCATGGTTTTGTGCATTCTTACCATTCTAATATTTTCAAATGCAAACAAGTAAAACAACTAGCTAATATAAACGAAAATCATTAGGCCATCTTTAAAAAGAAATTGCTTGGTTGCCCTCTACCGACCGACTGGCTAAAAACGGGTAGATTGAGACTTTCTTTAATTTCAAGGAAACAATTATTTTTATGCATTCAGGAAAATGAATTTTAAAAAATCAGCATTGATGTTGAAATTGGGGGGGGGGGGGGGGGGGAGTCACCTACCTACGAACCCATTTCTATCATTCTAAGTCTGGAGAGGAAAAAAAAACATTATTTAAATTGGCATTATCCTTTATTGGACATAAAATTTTAACTTGAAAATTAAGATAAATATTTTAAAGAAGGGTTGAGTTTATCGATGTGTTTATTTGTCTATTTATTTTTATTTTTTGTGACGAAATGAAGATATAATGAATGATCAAGAAATGCCTAAAGTTATCAGAAATACATGAAGAAAATCAGTTGTTTATTTGCAAAATTAAGCAACCGTAATCAGATGCCAAAGGGAATATACTCGCCTAAGCGAAATTTCATTCCTTAGAATTCAACTTGCTGTTGACTTACTTTTGTATCTGGATCCAGGGGAATGTCAAGCTCCACCTTGTACCATTTATTCTTTTTATTCCCACTTACTGAAAAGTGTACCTCATCTTCTGCTCCAGGTCTCGATGTATATATCGAAAATGTTCCCATTCCTTCGCCCTTCATGTGGTAATACAAACTCAAGCGGTAGGTCTTGTCTGCAAATATATATATATATATATATATATATATATATATATATATATATATATATATATATATATATATATATATATATATATGGGACATGGAGACTGGTCCTACGGTGTCTAACCGAGGTCCCGTGTCGCAGTAGGTGCTTTCACGAAAAAGATCCCTTACTGCTCAATGTCTCTGAGTGCCGAACATAGGTCAAAATTTGCAGCTCTCCACTGGCAAGTGGTGGCTCTCACTATGAATGAAAAATTCTCGAGAGGGACGTGAAACAACAAACAAGCAAAACAGAAAAAAAAGAAAGACAATTTCGACGTAGACGTCATTCTGTCTTCTTAGAAGATTTGATTTGTTAATTTAACTTTTAAGACTATTTAAACTTAGCGTCACTGGAAATACATACTTTCAAATTCAGTTTCATTGCCGCTGCTGAGGCGATACTTTTCTCCAGTTTTGCCACATGATGCGTCAAAATAAAGATAATACTCCCCCTCAAATGCTCTTTTAGGACCTGTCCCAGGTGTATTGGTTTTACTCTGAAAGATAATCTTATATGCTTATATAATATTATGGCCTGTCATAATGCCATTACACTGGTTCTCGTTTTAAAATGATTTATTGTTTTCCACTTCTTATGTATAGTGTGTAACAAACAGAACAGTAATCTCTACTTAAGTAGACAGTGCTCATTGAATCAACCATTAAGGCGAGACTTCTGAGTTAATTATAAAATGAGGACATTTGAAGACGTTATAGAAGCATTTATGGTAAACTTGAAAATATTATTAATCCATTGCAATACATGTTTTATATTGTTGATAATTAGAAAGAAAGATTTTGGAAGGTTATGTTCACATAAAAAAAAAAGTTTGTTATAGCTTTTATAATTAGTTCCGATGTAGATCTATACTTAAAAAGGTCTAACACTTCCAATGTTTTACTGAGCGGTCATTAAAAAAATCGATGTTTGACCGCAGAGTGAGATATTGGACCATTGATGAGATACTGGACAGCTTACGCCACACTGTGGGTGGAGTCAGCTAAATCTTATTTGCACTAGTGACAGAATAGACCAAGATATACCGAAGCGGAAGCCAGCAAATTGTTAGCGTTCTCGGGCAAAATGCGTTTTGTCAAACCCTCGAACAAACTGTTTGCCTTCGGCCTAACGGCCTAAGGCAAACAGCTTGGTTCTTGGGTCCAACAAAACGCATGTAGCGCTCGAACCATGTCAAGAAATGTACATTTTCTTATTAATAATTGAGTGCGTACAAAAAGTAGTATTGTCCTACCTTTCCTCTAAACCAGCAGCATTTGTGTGTATCAAGGAAGCAGGAAGGCTCATTGTCATCTTCGAACCGACAGGAACGACCTAAGAAAAAAAAGTTTTTCGCAAGTGTGAGCACAAATAAGCATAAATGTAATTTTAATGTCCAATACATAGGACTGGTATTTTATGATGGAAATTAAGGTCATACGCAACGTAAATTTACATGTACTTTACAATGAAAAATCATAGTACCATCAGATGTTCTAAGACAAAAAAATCATCTTACATTACCAGAGGTTTTGAAAAGATATATGTTAAAAATCCTTGTGCTTTTAAAGAAAAATGAACAAAAAAATACTTTTAGCAGGTATTTCTTGAAAATATGATTTAAAGAATTTGCATAGCAATTATCGGGCATTATAAAATCATACAGATGTCCTTCAACTATTGCAACTTTCTAAATTATACAGGCCATAAGAAAATGAATAACAAGACTTAAATGTTCACTTTCAAAAACAAAACCAAAAAAGACACTTCGGTTCATAATCGTGCAAACGAATATCGTGGAAACTGAGGGGCCTGTAAATACCTGTAGACTTAATATGATATCATCATGTAATTTTTATTTCCCTATTCAATTCTTACTAGTTTTCAATTGATTGAACCTGTTCATATGTTGATTTTCTCATTTTTGTGTCGCCAGCAGAGCAGAGCGACACTTAGGGATCACTTTACCCGGCGTCTGTCTTTCGGTCTGCCGGTCTTTTACACCCTATATCCTGAGAACTGTAAAAGGTATGAATTTGACATTTTGTACATAAATTCCTTGGCATGAGGGCTTTTGTAAATAACCATGTTGACCGACCTCGTTACCTTTTGACCTACTTTTCAAATAGCTCTTAGTTCCGATATACATTAATTTTTTTTACATTTAAAAGGTGAGTCTATGCTATTAAGCGTATGTGCTATTTGTCATAAAACATTATAAAAATACCATATAGATATACCAATAAATAAAAATCACAGTCTATTTGACCTTGACCCTTGACCTACTTTGCAAAAATTCTTCGGACGGTTTAATTTAACTTATATCTTTGGAATTTTTTAAGGCCGGGTTCTGATAATTAGCATTTATACATGTTGATGAGCTCATGATACTTTACTTCGAAACTGTATGATATTCAGTTACCACACTAACTAATATTTAAATACTATGAAAATACATCGGGATCGGTATTCCACAATGGATCATGGAGACTGAAAATTGCAGTAAAGACAGACTGAAATTTCTTTTGGGGATTGTTTGAAACAATTAATAAAATGATAAAGAATTATTTCTAATAATTTCAATTTAATTATTGACTTGAGGGTTGGGACTTTTCTTTCATTGTCAGATTCTATCGCTGTCAAAGCAAGAAGAATAATACTAGTGGTAAATAAATAGCTGATCACTCTTATATTTATTTACATCTTTAATGAAGCAAAGCAGGCGACACATACGTTCCTCGGAACACTCTAGTTCTATGAGCAGTTAAAATTGTGTGTATAATATGTATTTACGATAACATGTCACCTCTTGTGCAAAGAATTATAAGAAAGTGATATCATACCCTTTTTGTTTCAAGAGCCATCTCTTTTGCGTTCAACTTAGCTTGTTTGCAAAGAAATGTTATACACTTCTGAGAAGTAATCAGTATTTAAAGTCATATTTATTGCATTTTGATAGTTGTGAAGACGATTACTTTTGCACTTGGTTGTCTAGTAAGAATAATTTATCGTTTGGAATGCTAACTCTATTTCCCAATTATACTTCCCAAACAATTCCGTCTTCAACAATCACATTTAATTAAAAATATTTAATATAGATTTTTTTCTTCAAATTTTCTTCATAACATCATTTTTTACAACTACAATTCGATAACGGAGAGGGATGGGGGCTCATCGAAATAAAACATTAAAAAAAAAAAATCATCTACTTAATCATGCGAGTTTACAGTTATTCAATTCTTGTTTTGTTTGTTTTCTTTCTTGTTTTTATTCATCTTTAAACATTTAGAATTTCGTTTGTTAACATGCCGCTGCAATATGTCATGTATGTAGTGTGGGGGGGGGGGGGGATCATGAACCAGTAAGGAACACAAACTATTCAAATGATCATTTATTTGAAAACAACTAAAAAAAAAATAATATATCCTTATCAGTGGACCAGATATTAGTTTTTGTTTGTTTGTTTGTTTTGATTGTTGTTGTTCTTGTTGTTGTCTTTTTTTTTATGAGTCTGCCGTTAAACTTGCATAATAAAACAATGATTTATAGCATGGAAGTCAATTATAAATGATCTGTAAAACGAAGCTCAAGTTACACTGTATTAGAATTTTCACGACATACATGTACATGTAATGGACGACAACCTAGCTTAAATGTACTGCTAAATATATAAACTTAGCATTTTACCTGTACAGTATGTCTCAGCTATTTCATAGATAAGATCATAATTCAGTTGTTTGTCTTTTAAACATTTAAATTACGATTTAGCAATTGCGATTACAATTGGAAGTTCCAACTTATTTCAAACGCATGAATAATGTAAACAAATGAATTTGAAAGCTTTTTTTAATTAAGATATTCTTATCAATTTCACTTCATCCGATACATCGAAAATAATTTTAACACCTTTTCTTCATTATCTTTCGAGATGTACTTAGCTCGTTAGTCAAGAAAAATAAAAGTGATAATTCTACGTCAAATGTATGGTGACACTCTTGAAAATTTATCAACATTCTCCATATTGTCACTTACATGTAAATGTTTCGATCGCCATAAAAAGAGTAATGATCGATTTCACTACTGTATTTGGAATATACAAGGGGCGGGGCTTACTGGCGGCAAGATTAAAGCGGGGTCCGCTTCACGCATGAGTGCGTAAAGAGAAACTTGAGAGCGAACGCCGGGTTCGCTCTAGCGGACCCAGAGCTGACCCCGAGCGAACGCAGAGCAAACCCGAAGCGCACCCAGAGCGGTCCCAAATTTTCTGAAAGCAGACCCGCAACGGACCCCGAGTGAACCCATGAAGCGAACCCATTGTGCGGTTTGGGTTCGCTCTGGTGTTAGGTTGTGTCCGGTCGGTACTGTAACATGGTCATTCCTTGGCATTCAGTGCCTTCCTCATATCAAAAATTACATGACATTTTCAGCGAAAAAAAATTCCAACAATTCTGACACTGACAGAAATATTTTCAAGCAAGGTTTCAGAAATTCCAGCGTCTTGTTTTTCACAGGATATGTTTCTCTCGTTTAACGTCTACATGTACACCTCCGCACGATGAAATGTTGAAAAAGTGTAAAAGATACTGATATTTATTGGCAGACATCCGTAATGGAGTACATCTTACATTTGATATATCACAAGATTATGAGTACGTCACTTGGAAATGAACTTGATCATTCCTGTGATCAGATCTCATTCCATCAAATATAATTCCCAAAAAACTTTTCAGTAGATCTGATACAATTTAGGGAACCAGCCAGTCTGATTTCCGAGTCCAACTTCTTTTCTTATCTATTAAAAGTACTTACATTTAGATTTAAGGCAGTCATTTAGAAATATCAAATGACTGCCATTATACGATGCGACAGGATTTGACCTTGACAAAGTAGAACAAAAATATCATTCATGTCATTCTTTTAGTCTTTGATTGTTTAAAAATTTTAACTTAATTCGTTGTTCTATAGTAGTTTTCAGAAGCAGAAAAGGAGATATTTTCATACACTGCCGTTCCCCCCAAAAATATAATCCCTGCTAGATTTCAAACTCAGTTTACCATTTCTATTTAAAGTTGTACAATTATGATGAGGAAAGAAAAATATGATCTTTTAGATCTCTTACATCTAAATATATAAGACATATAAGCAAATATACTTCAAATATGTCATCTAGTCAGAAACCAGACAAGAATTCCTCCTTAACGGAAAAACTGATAGATTTTTATTTTTTGAATTATGAAACTCTTTTCAAATTTAATAAAAGGCAAAACTCGAAAGAGAATATTTTTGATAAATTCAAAAAGTAACGACATTTAGAAATTTAAAAATTAAAAACAAAATACTTCTGCCAGTGTCAGTTTTACCAAATGTACATTTTCCCTTAAGCTTTAACCTTGTAAATATAAATAACATTTCGAATTTTAATGCCTTTAGTGTGTTATGATGATGGAATTGTTTGGGAAGTTTTAAATATCCAACGATATCCTAGTGTTCCGTTCTGAAGCCGGTTTAGTGGTCCTTCATTTTTCTCACAATTTGATGACATCATCAGCAATGAAACTATTTGTAGGTGAACCTTGCATTGTTGTTACATTTAATTTTATTTCCTAATTTTCATCTAAATGACAGTTTTGCGTATAGGTTATGGGAAGAAAAAGCAATAGAAATCAATTTTAGTCATTTTTGCTACTTTTATATAATCTACATTCAGTGTGTAACTTTCAATGCCAGTTCCGACAAATATAACAAATCCTTAATACTTGTAAGAAATACATTTCATGCATATTAATTTACGCTCTGCATAAAGAAACAAGATATATATAAATATGAATATATATGGAAAAAAAAAACAACAACAATGCTGGGATACTCTATTTTTTTTTTAAGTTAAATTCTGAATTTGTTTAGTCGTTGATCCTTGAATGCCATCACCTTGTCTAAACGGAGGTTTGTGTTCCCAAGCAGTAGGAGGATTTTTGTCGGAACCGGCATTGAAAGTAACATACTAAATTTAGATTATAGAAAACTAACAAATAAGAAAGCCAAATGTAGATGTTAATTATCAAATAAATGCAAAACAAGCGATATATCTGTAACTTTGAGTATTCCACTGTCTACTATTGATTCACATGGTACAATATATTGAAAAATTGAAAGGAATTCGGCAGAGAGAAAGGTCTGGTAGGGCTAGGATTGAAATCCAATTTTTCTACATTTAGTGTCGTTCTTACTGAACTCTTCTTTGATCTCTGAATGTTCGTTTACTAGGCTTATAAACTCTTTTCCTCGATTGAATTCCTCTTTTTTTAATATTTTGCATCACAATATACGAAGTAAACAGAGAAATATTCAGTGTTTCAGAAGTATAACCTATGGTGGCATATTTCTGCCCCCTACATGCAAGATAAATTATGTCAACATGCAAGAAAAGTATGTCAACATGCAAGATAATTATGTCAACATGCAAAATAACTACATTTATGTTGACAATTTTTGAGAATGTTGGTAAAATTACTTGTTAACACCAGTATACGACATACATACAAGCAAGCTGCAACAGAATTATATTTACATGCGACATATTTATGTTGACATGCGAATTATTTATGTTAACAAGCAAGATATTTATGTCAACATGCGCTTATTTATATTAACATGCAAGATAATTATGTTAACATGCAAGATATTTATGTAGACATGCAACTTATTCATGTCAACATGAAACTTATTTATGTTAACATGGGAGTTATATTTTAGCATGCAGGATATATATGTCAACATGCAAGATAATAAGTTGCATGTTAGAATACATATTTCGCATGTTGGCTTATTAACTCAAGTATTAACATAATTATCTTGCATGTTGACATAAATAAGTTGCATGTCTACATAATTAGCTTCTATTTCAACATAAATAAGTTGTATATCTACATAAATATCTTGCATGTTGACATTACTAAGTCGCATGTCTACATACTTATCTAGCATGTTAACATAAATAAGTAGCATGTCAGCATAATCCTGTTGCATCTTGCTTGCATGATGTCATATGATGACGTTAGTGAGTACATTTATCAATATTAAAATTAGATTCCCTTAGGAGGTTGGTAACTTGCATTTCAACATTTGCATGTTGACATACATGTAAATTAGACGCTTGTCTACATAATTATGTTGCATGTCAACATATTGTACTTTATTTTTTGCATATATGTGACTTACCATCACATGTTGATCCTGAGACACCTGGTGGACAGTTGCACACAAACCCCCCTACTGCTTGGGAGCACGTTCCTCCGTTTTGACAAGGTGACGAATTACAAGGATCAACGACTGAGAAAATAAGATATTAACTTTGAAAAGAAAAGATATAGTAAACCCTTGTTATTGTTTCTTTAATTTATTACAAGTATGCAGATCGTAAATTAACATGCATAAAATGCATTCCTTATATGTACATGTAATGAGGAATTGTGATATTTCTCGGAACTGGTATTGAAAGTAGCATACTGAATGTAGATTATAGAAAACTGACAAATAAGAAAGCCTGTTGTAGATGTTAAATATCAAAGAATTGCACAACTAGGAATATTTCTGTAACGCTGAGTATTCCACTGTCTGCTGGTGATTCACATGGTACAAAATATTGCAAAATGGAAAGGAATTCGGCAGAGAGAAAAAAATGGAAGGACTAGGAATGAAACCCCATTTTTTCCACATTTAGTGTTGTTCTTACTGAGCAAATACCCAACTCTTCTTTGATCTGTGAATGTTAGCTTACTAATCTTATTAATCTTATACACCCTTTTCCTTAACTGAATTCCTCTTCATTTGTAATATTTTGTATCACACAATATGAAGTAGTTGGTGAAATATTTGGTGTTTCAGAAATATAATCAGATTTAAAAATCCCTTGCTTGTGTATTACTTAAATAGGCTTTGTATTTTCAAAAGCAGTTATGTTCAACATCACCAGACAACAGGAAGTATATAAAATAAAAGGGAAGTTATCTATGATAAATGCATGTATCATAAGAAAGAAGGGGATATTGTCATGAAATAAAAATAGCAACATTAAATTATATTGCATGTTATTCATCCATTATTTTAGATCAACGTATTATAAAAAAAAAATATTCTCAATAATTTCTGGGAACCAAAACTCTCGGCAACAAGGATGTATTTTTGCATTGGGTATTTTTTGCATTGATGTGACTTACCATCACATGTTGATCCTGAGAATCCTGGTGGACAGTTGCACACAAACCCCCCTACTGCTTGGGAGCACGTTCCTCCGTTTTGACAAGGTGACGAATTACAAGGATCAACGACTGAGAAAATAAGATATTAACTTTGAAAAGAAAAGATATAGTAAACCCTTGTTATTGTTTCTTTAATTTATTACAAGTATGCAGATCGTAAATTAACATGCATAAAATGCATTCCTTATATGTACATGTAATGAGGAATTGTGATATTTCTCGGAACTGGTATTGAAAGTAGCATACTGAATGTAGATTATAGAAAACTGACAAATAAGAAAGCCTATTGTAGATGTTAAATATCAAAGAATTGCACAACTAGGAATATTTCTGTAACGCTGAGTATTCCACTGTCTGCTGGTGATTCACATGGTACAAAATATTGCAAAATGGAAAGGAATTCGGCAGAGAGAAAAAAATGGAAGGACTAGGAATGAAACCCCATTTTTTCTACATTTAGTGTTGTTCTTATTGAGCAAATACCCAACTCTTCTTTGATCTGTGAATGTAAGCTTACTAATCTTATTAATCTTATACACCCTTTTCCTTAACTGGATTCCTCTTCATTTGTAATATTTTGAATCACACAATATGAAGTAGTTGGTGAAATATTTGGTGTTTCAGAAATATAATCAGATTTAAAAATCCCTTGCTTGTGTATTACTTAAATAGGCTTTGTATTTTCAAAAGCAGTTATGTTGAACATCACCAGACAACAGGAAGTATATAAAATAAAGGGGAAGTTATCTATGATAAATGCATGTATCATAAGAAAGAAGGGGATATTGTCATGAAATAAAAATAGCAACATTAAATTATATTGCATGTTATTCATCCATTATTTTAGATCAACGTATTATAAAAAAAAAATATTCTCAATAATTTCTGGGAACCAAAACTCTCGGCAACAAGGATATATTTTTGCATTGGGTATTTTTTGCATTGATGTGACTTACCATCACATGTTGATCCTGAGACACCTGGTGGACAGTTGCACACAAACCCCCCTACTGCTTGGGAGCACGTTCCTCCGTTTTGACAAGGTGACGAATTACAAGGATCAACGACTGAGAAAATAAGATATTAACTTTGAAAAGAAAAGATATAGTAAACCCTTGTTATTGCTTCTTTAATTTATTACAAGTATGCAGATCGTAAATTAACATGCATAAAATGCATTCCTTTTATGTTCTTGTACTGAGGAATTGTGATATTTCTCGGAACTGGTATTGAAAGTAGCATACTGAATGTAGATTATAGAAAACTGACAAATAAGAAAGCCTATTGTAGATGTTAAATATCAAAGAATTGCACAACTAGGAATATTTCTGTAACGCTGAGTATTCCACTGTCTGCTGGTGATTCACATGGTACAAAATATTGCAAAATGGAAAGGAATTCGGCAGAGAGAAAAAAAAATGGAAGGACTAGGAATGAAACCCCATTTTTTCTACATTTAGTGTTGTTCTTACTGAGCAAATTCCCAACTCTTCTTTGATCTGTGAATGTAAGCTTACTAATCTTATTAATCTTATACACCCTTTTCCTTAACTGGATTCCTCTTCATTTGTAATATTTTGAATCACACAATATGAAGTAGTTGGTGAAATATTTGGTGTTTCAGAAATATAATCAGATTTAAAAATCCCTTGCTTGTGTATTACTTAAATAGGCTTTGTATTTTCAAAAGCAGTTATGTTGAACATCACCAGACAACAGGAAGTATATAAAATAAAGGGGAAGTTATCTATGATAAATGCATGTATCATAAGAAAGAAGGGGATATTGTCATGAAATAAAAATAGCAACATTAAATTATATTGCATGTTATTCATCCATTATTTTAGATCAACGTATTATAAAAAAAAAATATTCTCAATAATTTCTGGGAACCAAAACTCTCGGCAACAAGGATATATTTTTGCATTGGGTATTTTTTGCATTGATGTGACTTACCATCACATGTTGATCCTGAGACACCTGGTGGACAGTTGCACACAAACCCCCCTACTGCTTGGGAGCACGTTCCTCCGTTTTGACAAGGTGACGAATTACAAGGATCAACGACTGAGAAAATAAGATATTAACTTTGAAAAGAAAAGATATAGTAATCCCTTGTTATTGTTTCTTTAATTTATTACAAGTATGCAGATCGTAAATTAACATGCATAAAATGCATTCCTTATATGTACATGTAATGAGGAATTGTGATATTTCTCGGAACTGGTATTGAAAGTAGCATACTGAATGTAGATTATAAAAAACTGACAAATAAGAAAGCCTATTGTAGATGTTAAATATCAAAGAATTGCACAACTAGGAATATTTCTGTAACGCTGAGTATTCCACTGTCTGCTGGTGATTCACATGGTACAAAATATTGCAAAATGGAAAGGAATTCGGCAGAGAGAAAAAAATGGAAGGACTAGGAATGAAACCCCATTTTTTCTACATTTAGTGTTGTTCTTATTGAGCAAATACCCAACTCTTCTTTGATCTGTGAATGTTAGCTTACTAATCTTATTAATCTTATACACCCTTTTCCTTAACTGAATTCCTCTTCATTTGTAATATTTTGTATCACACAATATGAAGTAGTTGGTGAAATATTTGGTGTTTCAGAAATATAATCAGATTTGAAAATCCCTTGCTTGTGTATTACTTAAATAAGCTTTGTATTTTCAAAAGCAGTTTTGTTGAACATCACCAGACAACAGGAAGTATATAAAATAAAGGGGAAGTTATCTATGATAAATGCATGTATCATAAGAAAGAAGGGGATATTGTCATGAAATAAAAATAGCAACATTAAATTATATTGCATGTTATTCATCCATTATTTTAGATCAACGTATTATAAAAAAAAAATATTCTCAATAATTTCTGGGAACCAAAACTCTCGGCAACAAGGATATATTTTTGCATTGGGTATTTTTTGCATTGATGTGACTTACCATCACATGTTGATCCTGAGACACCTGGTGGACAGTTGCACACAAACCCCCCTACTGCTTGGGAGCACGTTCCTCCGTTTTGACAAGGTGACGAATTACAAGGATCAACGACTGAGAAAATAAGATATTAACTTTGAAAAGAAAAGATATAGTAAACCCTTGTTATTGTTTCTTTAATTTATTACAAGTATGCAGATCGTAAATTAACATGCATAAAATGCATTCCTTATATGTACATGTAATGAGGAATTGTGATATTTCTCGGAACTGGTATTGAAAGTAGCATACTGAATGTAGATTATAAAAAACTGACAAATAAGAAAGCCTATTGTAGATGTTAAATATCAAAGAATTGCACAACTAGGAATATTTCTGTAACGCTGAGTATTCCACTGTCTGCTGGTGATTCACATGGTACAAAATATTGCAAAATGGAAAGGAATTCGGCAGAGAGAAAAAAATGGAAGGACTAGGAATGAAACCCCATTTTTTCTACATTTAGTGTTGTTCTTATTGAGCAAATACCCAACTCTTCTTTGATCTGTGAATGTTAACTTACTAATCTTATTAATTTTATACACCCTTTTCCTTAACTGAATTCCTCTTCATTTGTAATATTTTGTATCACACAATATGAAGTAGTTGGTGAAATATTTGGTGTTTCAGAAATATAATCAGATTTAAAAATCCCTTGCTTGTGTATTACTTAAATAGGCTTTGTATTTTCAAAAGCAGTTATGTTGAACATCACCAGACAACAGGAAGTATATAAAATAAAGGGGAAGTTATCTATGATAAATGCATGTATCATAAGAAAGAAGGGGATATTGTCATGAAATAAAAATAGCAACATTAAATTATATTGCATGTTATTCATCCATTATTTTAGATCAACGTATTACAAAAAAAATATTCTCAATAATTTCTGGGAACCAAAACTCTACTCTCGGCAACAAGGATATATTTTTGCATTGGGTATTTTTTGCATTGATGTGACTTACCATCACATGTTGATCCTGAGACACCTGGTGGACAGTTGCACACAAACCCCCCTACTGCTTGGGAGCACGTTCCTCCGTTTTGACAAGGTGACGAATTACAAGGATCAACGACTGAGAAAATAAGATATTAACTTTGAAAAGAAAAGATATAGTAATCCCTTGTTATTGTTTCTTTAATTTATTACAAGTATGCAGATCGTAAATTAACATGCATAAAATGCATTCCTTTTATGTTCTTGTACTGAGGAATTGTGATATTTCTCGGAACTGGTATTGAAAGTAGCATACTGAATGTAGATTATAGAAAACTGACAAATAAGAAAGCCTATTGTAGATGTTAAATATCAAAGAATTGCACAACTAGGAATATTTCTGTAACGCTGAGTATTCCACTGTCTGCTGGTGATTCACATGGTACAAAATATTGCAAAATGGAAAGGAATTCGGCAGAGAGAAAAAAATGGAAGGACTAGGAATGAAACCCCATTTTTTCTACATTTAGTGTTGTTCTTATTGAGCAAATACCCAACTCTTCTTTGATCTGTGAATGTTAGCTTACTAATCTTATTAATCTTATACACCCTTTTCCTTAACTGAATTCCTCTTCATTTGTAATATTTTGTATCACACAATATGAAGTAGTTGGTGAAATATTTGGTGTTTCAGAAATATAATCAGATTTGAAAATCCCTTGCTTGTGTATTACTTAAATAAGCTTTGTATTTTCAAAAGCAGTTTTGTTGAACATCACCAGACAACAGGAAGTATATAAAATAAAGGGGAAGTTATCTATGATAAATGCATGTATCATAAGAAAGAAGGGGATGTTGTCATGAAATAAAAATAGCAACATTAAATTATATTGCATGTTATTCATCCATTATTTTAGATCAACGTATTATAAAAAAAAATATTCTCAATAATTTCTGGGAACCAAAACTCTCGGCAACAAGGATATATTTTTGCATTGGGTATTTTTTGCATTGATGTGACTTACCATCACATGTTGATCCTGAGACACCTGGTGGACAGTTGCACACAAACCCCCCTACTGCTTGGGAGCACGTTCCTCCGTTTTGACAAGGTGACGAATTACAAGGATCAACGACTGAGAAAATAAGATATTAACTTTGAAAAGAAAAGATAGAGTACACCACCATTGTTGTTTCTTTCATATATATTTGTAAGACTCCAAAGTGCGATGGGACTCCAAAGTCCGATGGTCCGCCATACCCCGATGGTTCGACACGTCAAAGCCCGATGGTGTGGAAAAACGATTGACGTTTGTGACGTCATAGTACTACTGCGCCAAACTGCCATGCCGCGCCATGCCAAGGTCTTAAGTAAGTATAAATAAATATCATTATGCGAAAACTAACCCTAATCTCTCGGATATGTGCGAAACACCCTAATCGCTCGGCAAGTGTGTAACAACTACAACCTAGATATCTTGGATGGGTGCGAGACTTAACCCTAATCACTCGACTAGTGTGCGAGGACAAACCCTAAATCTCTCGGGTTGGTGCGAAGCAAGGACTTACTCTAATCAGTCGAGTGATGTGCGAGAACTAGCCCTAATATCTCTGGTGGGTGCAAGCAATAGTCAAAATCAGTAAAATTGTATGCGAGGACGAATACTGAACTGATGTCTTTTGAATGCAGGACAATGCCGTCAAGGATTGACGTCGGAATTTTGTTACGTCATAAACGTTGATTGTTTCTCCGCACCATCGGACTTTTTCGTGTCAGACCATCGCACCTTAGCGCAGCGCGCGTCTCATAGGAAACGATCCATCGGACTTTGGCGTGACCATCGGACTTTGGAGTCTTACATATATATATATATATATATATATATATATATATATATATATATATATATATATATATATACATCTTGTTTCTTTCTTTTATTATGCAGATCGTAAATCAATATTTCAAAATGTATTCCTTACATGTATTAAAAAATTGTGATATTTTTCGGAGCTGGCATTGAAAGTAACATACTGAATGTAGATTATATAAAACTAACAAATATGACGAAAATTGATTTCTATTGCTTTTTTCTTTCCATAACCTATAAACAAACTATGATTTAGATGAAAAAATGGGAAATAGATATATATGTAACAAGGATGCAAGGCAATCAAATCATGAGAGAAATGAAGGACATTTAAACCGGTTTTACTACAGTATCACTGGGACATCGTTGGATATTTGAAACTTCCCAAACCATTCCATTTTCGTCTATCACATTTAATTATAAATATTTAATATAGATTTTTTTTTTCAAATGTTCCTCATAGCATCATATTTTTACAAGTTACGCGGTCATTCTTTGACATTCAATGCATTCCTCCTGCATCATAGTTGATAAGTAATGCAAGTTCCATGGCTTCGTTCATTTAAATGTTTCAATTTATTTTAAAAAAAATTGTTTAGATATATATGGACTCAGTTGTTAAACTTATGCAAAACTATATAAAAAAAATAATAATAAATGAAAAAAATACGCAATGGTTCATGTTTGTTATGTTTCTTTCATGCAAATCAAAAATTAAATTTAAAAGCATTACAAACTTTCAACGAAAATAAAAGACCTCCAACAATTCTGACACTGACCGAAATATTTTCAAACAGGTTTACAGATATCCCAGCGTCTTTTTTTCACAGAATATGTTTTTTTTTCTTTAAACCTCTACACCTTCGCACGATGAAATGTTGAGAAAGGGATAAAAAGGGAAGAAAGATATTGATATCTACTGGCAGACATCCCTAATGGAGTACAGTTACATTTGATATATCACAAGATTATGAATAATTTTTTCCATAAATTTCACTTACATGAAATAAAGACGTTTCAGGCTAAGGTTGATAGGGGTTGGTGTTAAAACCTTAAGAGTATATTTCAAATATTCTTCTTATTACATAAAATTCTCTTGTACTAACTTTAAGACTGATGATAAGTAATTAACATTAGAGTAGACGCTCAAACCACTGCAAGAATCGGGCGACAAAAGCTAATATGTCTCATAGAAAATATAAGTTTTTAGGGAAATCTTGAATGTTGATAAAATCACTGTGGTTTTTCTGCAAAACATTTCAGAGAATTCACATTTTTCCAAAATTTTTTTTACTAAAATAATTGCTTAAGGTAAAAGTCAGCCAGAAGCACTTAAAACATATAGTTCACAAAATGCTACCCCAACTCCCATATAATATCAGTCTATAGAATTAATGGCAGTGCTTGTGTTATGCTGTCGGAAGCTAAATATCTGCACGATCTGTATGACTGAAACGTAAAGCAGGAGGTGCACAATAAGGTAAACAAAGATTTTCTGAAACACAGGATGAAACTCTGCAATTCAGTTAACTGAAAGGTGACTGAAGGTCAACTAAAAAGCGACTGAATGAGAGGCATTTCTGCCATTCAGTCACTTTTCTAGACATTTCAGTGAACATTCAGTTAACTGAATGGTGCTGTTTCATCCTGGGAAAGTCTTATTTAAGTTCATACAGTGGTATAGAAGGAGTTGCGGATGGGAGATGGGTTACCCAATAGTTACGGATGTACCTAAGATATACAGAAGCATACACGCAAGGACGGACACCCCATCACAATATATCCCTGCTTTTCAAGCGGGGGATATAAAACTAAACTACTTTCTTACAACTACTTTAATGTACAACTTGGAGGACCATTTCCTGGAAGACTCTGTACAAAGAAGTTTAAAAATAAAGATCCTATGTTCCTTTACTTATTCATCTAAAGATGATGGATACACTCGCTATTCATTACAAAGTTCTTGAAAATGAGAAAAAGTCTAAACAGTGAACAAATCCTTACATAGAAATCACTTACTTTCACATCTGACTCCTGAGAAATCCGGCGGACATATGCAAAAAACATCGTCTAAGCTTGTCACACATGTTCCTCCATTCAGACAAGATAAAGGGGTACAAAAAAGGAGAACTTCAACCAATTCCATAAAAAAAAAGGAAACACTAATTAGACTTTTTATGCAGATTACAAAACATCACCATCATATAATCATATTCTAATATTTCTGTAAGGTTTGTATGATTCGTAAAACCATAGATTGAAAAAAACAGGTGTCAATTTAACGTTCTGTTGAAAAAAGGTAAGGTATCATGGATCTATGATCATAAAACATCACTTACATCTCATCAAAAAAAAAAAGTTGGCAATGCAATCATTTGTCACATTACGTATCATTGGTCAGTTGCTTTCTTTACTAAAATGATAATAGGTCTGTCTCACTTTGAGCGTGATTTAATAAGAATTTTAAGGATTGAAATAACCGCGAATTTTGCATTTTTTTAATTTGCAGTACTGTCACGTCAGTCATGCGTAAATAAATATTAGCGCCTTTTGACGTCACAGTAAGAATGTTGATTGTGTATTTATGTGTCACTATGCAATATGTATAGTAATATTAGCGCTTTTTGACGTCACAGTAAGAATGTCTGATTTTGTATTTATGTGTAACTATGGACTATGTTATCTATGGAAAGCCGTAGGGTACCCCCACATTATTTTTTTCCTATATAATTATACCAAAAATAATTATCTCATCAAAAAATAAAAATCCTGCCTTTTTACAACATTATCATTTTTTTGCAACAATTATAATCTTGTCTGTCAGATGTGTATACATTATTTTTATTCTACCCGAAAATTATAATAATTATTCTCACTTTATAAGCATAATCTTGTCAGTCAGTGTGGATGCATCATTTTTATACACCTCCAATTAAATTATAATCTCGTCAGTCTATTTTTACAGATAATTTTTATTTTGCACCAACATTATAAATATTCTTGCTTCAACAATTTATGTGTTTCCACCCCTGTAACAATAATGTACTGATTGGAAATAAATAAAAATGTACACACTTTAAAAATTGTAATGTACCAAGTCGTCGTTATAATCTTTGCAGCAATAATAATGATATGCGCCCTTGTTCGCAATTTTTGTTTTTCAACAGGAGAGATAACTTCTTTTCTAATGACAGGAATGAAAACTCGGTCTCCTATTGAAACAATAACTATGTTGAACGGCTTGCTAAGAAACGCGATTATAATTGTGATTGCACACATTGTTTTAAGCGTGAAGGAAATATTATCTTGAGCTTGAAGGAACATTATTTCAAGCGTGATGGAAAACAAGCGTCAATGCGAGGGAGATCGTCACCTGAAAAGGTCGTGTGCTCAGTACGATCATGTAAACAAAGTGAAAGACAGAAAGTCCAACGTTAGCTAGGCTATAAGCGGTAAGTAAAGACTAATCATTAATGTACATGTAAGTGACTGGCATCATTCAGAGAATGTCTCTTGAATCAGCTGTCAGTTTATTGTAGTTAAGCTTGAGAAGAAACAGGTAGTTCGAATTGCCTCAGACAGCTGTCAGAAACAGACCATGTGCATAAATGTGAGATTAAACACATACTAGTACTTTATAAAACCATCTGTCGGATTAAAAGCATTTAGGGGACAATCATTTTATTGAAGGGGACTGACAGATTAAGGAAATAAATATTTTAATCTTGACTTTTATGTAAATTAACTGTCATCCAATGGCATTGCTAGAAAAAAAAATGACCCTGCCAGACCATGACTGTGGTCTTAACACACCCCCCCCCCCCCCACACACACACACACACACACACCACCAACACACACATACACCCTTCTTGCATATGTTTAAGTGTCTGATTTTGGAGAAGAAAAAAAATTCTGTCCTGTGCCTAAAAATAAATAAATAATCTGACTTGACAAAATATGCCACCCCTACTCCTACCCTCTTATACCGTTCACGGTAGCTCAGTCGGTAGAGCGCTCGCTTCGTGATCGGGAGGTCGTGAGTTCGAATCTCGGCCGCGACAGACTTAAGTCGATAAAAAAATAGGTAGCAACTGTTCCTTCGCCATGCGCTCGGCACTTTGAAGTGAAAGTTGCGGGTCTTTCGGATGAGACCTTAAAAACCGAGGCCCCGTGTCACGGCAGGCGTTGGCACGATAAAGATCCCTCACTGCTAAATGGCCCTGAGTGCCGAGTAAAGGTCAAAATTTGAAGCCCTTCATCGGTATATGGTGATGTCTCTATATGAGTGAAAAATTCTCGAATGGGACGTAAAACAATATAAAATCAATCAATCAATACCTACCCTCTTATCAAAAGGTTTTGACCTTAACATGGTGAAAAATCTTTTTCCTAACCAAATATTTCTCATCTACTCCTTTGTATATGCCATAATCATACTCGTACATGTACCCATTGATATTTTAAGATTTTGCATACAGTTTGTCTTTCTGCCACATATTCAAAGAGAATTCAGATAGGAAATAAATCAATTGAATAATAAATTCTCTCTGGAAGCAGGAATTGGGGAATACAGTGCAAGGGATACCCGATGCTCTATTTCAAGTCCAGAATCCAGAAGTTGTTGGTAAGGTGACTAAGTCCTTGATAAATATCATTAAAAATATAGCCTTTCTTAACAATAGACAACTTTAGCATTTTTCAAGAAGTATTTCTTTTTGTGGGATCAAGCTGGGATCAGCTGGCACGAGGGACTGTTTTCCTTTTAAGCCAATTAAAAAATTATTATATGTTTCTTTCTGGTAACATGCCAAAAATATTAGGAAAGGTAGGTAGGCGATAACTTTTTTTTTACTTTACTTTTTATAAGCTCACCTGAGCCAAAAACTGAAGTGAGCTTTTCTGATCACATTTTGTCTAGTGCTCATCTGTCTGTAAACTTCTTTTCACATTTTTGACTTCTTCTCAAGAACCATGACACGTCTGCCCATATAAAAGACTCCACGGCCCAAGCTAAATTTTGTGATAGAATTAATCCAGTGTCCTAATTGGTATTATTATAGATATAATAATTCTTTCTGACGATTAAACAATAATCTTCATAAAGAATCAAATTGAGAAGGGGGCGTGGGTTCTATGATTGTCATTGGGCTGAGATGTCTGTCTACCCTAGCAATTCCAGTAGATGACAGTTAATTTAAATAAAAGTCAAGGTTAAAATATTTATTTCCTTAATCTGTCGTCCTCCCCAATCAAATGTTCGTCCCATAAATGCTTTAATTCAGGCATGTGGTTTTATAAAGTACTAGTATGTGTTTAATCTCACATTTATGCACATGGTCTGTTTCTGAAAGCTGTGTGAGGCAATTCGAACTATCTACGGTAGCTCAAGCTTAATTACAATAAACTAATAGCTGATTCAAGAAACATTCTCTGAATAATGCCAGTCACTTACATGTACATTAATGATTAGTCTTTACTTACCGCTTATAGCCTAGCTAACTCTGGACTTTCTGTCTTTCACTTTGTTTACATGATCGCACAGCGCATATGGCCTTTTCACGTGACGATCTCTCTCGCATCGACGCTTGTTTTCCATCACGCTTGAAATAATTTTCTTCAAGCTCAAGATAATTGTAGTTCTGTGCGACTGTCCCGTGGTATGACCTACTGCCTGCATTATGTCAGACGGCAGAATAGGTGCACAGAGCTCCTCAACACGTGGATGCCGAGAAGACAGGACGTGTCTGGGACAGCAGATGAGCAGGGAATCGGCCCGGGCCAGAACCTACGGAGAAGTAGTGTGTGTATATTGTTGATAATAAATACATTGTAAAGAATCCACAAAGACTTTACTAACCCCCAACTCGCGGGGCCCGGGAGATTCCCGTACTGCTGTCAAAGTTAATTTTTTAGCCTTCGGCTCAGATGAGCTTTTCTGATTGAAATTCGTCCGTTGTCTGTCGTCGTTGACGTTGTCGTAGTTGTAGTCGTCGTTGTCGTAAACTTTTCACATTTTCATCTTCTTCTCAAGAACCATTTGGCCAATTTCAACCAAACTTGCCACGAAGTATCCTTGGGTAAAGGGGATTCAAGTTTGTTCAAATGAAGGACCACGCCTTCTTCCAAGGGGGAGATAATTATGAATTCATGAAAATTTAATGGCATCATTTAAAAATCTTCTTCTCAAAAACCACTGTGCTTGAAAATATGAAACTTATATGGAGGCATTCTCAGATAGTGTAGATTCAAGTTTGTTCAAATCATGACCCCCGGGGTAGGGTGGGGCCACAAGGCGCAGTCAAAGTTTTACATAGGAATACATAGGAAAAATCTTTAAAAATCTTCTTCTTAAGAACAGCAAACCCATGATGGGTCATATTTATATGGAAGCATCCTCAGGTAGTGTAGGTTCAAATTTGTTCCAATCATGACCCCCGGGGGTAGGGTGGGGCCACAATGGGCGATCAAAATTTTACATAGGAAAACAGGAAAAATCTTAAAAATCTTATTCTCAAGAACAGCAAAGCCATGATTGGTCATATTTATATGGAAGCATCCTCAGGTAATGTAGATTCAAATTTATTCAAATCATGACCACTGGGAGTAGGGTGGGGCCACAATGGGCATTCAAAGTTTTACATAGGAATACATAGGAAAAATCTTTAAAAATCTCCTTCTCAAGAACAGCAAAGCCAGGATTGGTCATATTTATATGGAAGCATCCTCAAGTAGTTTAGATTCAAGTTTATTCAAATCATGACCCCCGGGGGTAGGGTGGGGCCACAACGGGTGATCAAAATTTTACATGCGAATATATAGGAACATCTTTAAAAATCTTCTTCTCAAGAACAGCAAAGCCATGATTAGTCAAATTTAAATTGAAGCATCATCAGGTAATGTAGATTCAAATTTGTACAAATCATGATCCCCAGGAGAATAGAGGGGCCATAACAGGGGATCATACAAAGGAATACAAAGGATATATCAATCAAAATTCTCTTCTTAAGAACAGCAAAGCCATTATTTGTCATATTACCTTAAAAGCATTCCTATGAAGTTTAGATTCAAGTTGGTTCAAACTAACACTCCCCCCCCCTCCACCACCCCACCCACTCCACCCCCATCCCCGAGCCAGTTTTATAT